ATATATATATATATATATATATATATATATATATATATATATATTTTATATTTTTGTTAGTAAAATTGATAACATTAATTGATCAAAATATTTTTAATTATATGGATACCAATATAACTTTTTAATTATGTAAGGATCAAAATATTAAAAATAATTAACTACATGAGATAATGAGATAATGTATAATTAATAAAATAAATAAAATCATTTTAACCATTAGATGTTACAATTATCATCTTAATAATGGATCACTCTCAGTATCAAGAAGTTTCAATAAGTGTAAAATTAACATTAACATTACATGTAAATATACATATGTCAAGTTTTCTTATCATATATGGAATTTTTAGTTGAGCCTGGACATGAAATGTTCATATAATATAAATTATTTGATAATCCTAAAGACAGGTGTGGATAACTTTACTTTCTCGTTTAATATAAAAAAATTCTAATATATGGTTTGATGGTAAGTCCTATCCAAGAAATTGTACTCTTAAACGCACTTTAGTAGTTGAGTGTCCTATAATTTGAATAAAAATGGTATAAACAAGCCAAAAAAAAGGTCATAATTAACAAGCGATGTTGAATCTATGGTACGTTACTAACTTGTTATTTATGATTTTTATTACTTTGCCAGTGGTTTTCGTTGAATCAATCATCCACGCTCGGAATCGGTGGCCGGTGACCCCTTTTACCTTAGTTTATCATGTGATTGCGCTGTCATTAGAACAGTCATTCGGTTTCTCGCACGTTTTCTTCATTGCTGCACGTGCGCTATGTACATGAGAGTCAACGTCAGTAGTCTGTGCCACATCTTTTCCCACCTTCCTTCGCCTTTCACCGGTGATTACAGGTCCGAATGGGCCCCACAGAAGGCCCACGTCGGACGCCGTCGAACCATCCAATCACTGGGCAGGTAGCCGACACGAGTAGTCTTGTGGAGATCTAGTTCTTACATACGACATGGAACATACCAGCTTAAACCGGGTCCTCGATCCGGTCAACAATTGAAATGTTCGGTCAAAATCGGATCCAAATCCAGCCTAATCGGATCGTATTCCGGCACTAATCGGGTGGAAAGTCCATTTTGGGAGCGGCGTTCCTTTTCCCGCCGCCCTCGATCTCCCTCTCTCTCGCTTCATTCGGCGAACAAGAAGTAATGGCCGGGCCGAACGATGTCGAAGACGAGCAGCAGCAAATTGGAGCTTTCGCCCGCTTCCTCATCTCCCACCACGCTCCCCTTCTCCGCTCCATCGTCCTCTCCCCGGACTCCAATCTCCATTACCCCCTCCTCGTCGAGTAAGCCCTCGTTTCTGCCCTCTCTCACTGTATAAGCATTGATAAGCATTGTTCAACCCCTCACTTGTCTCCCTTCTCCCAGCTTCGCGGAGCTACTGGATTTCGACCCTTCTCTCGCCCACCTCTTCTTCTCCCGCCCGTCCCATCTCCTCCCGCTCTTCGACGAAGCTGCTCGCCGCTGCCAGGTTTTCTTACATTTCTTTTTTTCCGCTTCGATGCAGTGTGTTGTATCTCTTTCTTTCTTACTTTCGCTTTGAATTGTGCGCCGCAGGATGTCATTCTCGAGAATCCTGACGATCTGGGCCATACAGCAAGCAAGAAGTATCACGTTCATGTCAGGATCAACGTCGGTGGCTCTCCCTTGGAATCTCCCGGTTTGATCTTTGCCATAGCCTTGTTTATTTGATTTTTATTAGTTGTTGGGAAGAGAAAAAGAAACGAGAAAAAATGCCAAAAGAAAAAAGATGGATGTGCTGATGGTGTGGTAATGGTGTTTTGGGGGTGGGTTCCGTTCAGAGACATTTCCAAGCATTGGGCGGATTAGGGTGAAACATCGTGGGATCCTTCTCACGCTTAAGGGGACTGTCATCCGATCAGGGGCTATAAAGATGATCGAATGGGAGCAGCTTTATGAGTGTAGGCGGTGCAAGCACAGGCAAGGAAATTTCAACTCACATATATAACGTGTTTGATGGTTCATAACATACATGTATATTCATAATTTTTTGAATTTTTCTTGTTTCTTGATTGAACAAATTTATCTGATATTTTTGGTAGCAACATAACGCAATGTATGTTGACTCATTAGCCTTTTCATCATGTCTCTAAGATATCCATGTTCAATTTATTAGGTTATGCAAACAACCTAAATGGTCTCCATTAGTGAAACATGGAGCAGAATCTAACAGTAACACATACTTTTTAGTCTATTTCGAATAGATATTGGTGGACTTGTGCCTCATAACCAAGGTATTCAGTTTCGAATAATACTGTCCAGTGCGGGCGGTACGTATCAGTCCGTCGGCTGACCGGTACACGGACCGCCCGTTACCGGACAGAACGAAATAAATAAATAAATAAATAAATAAATAAATAAATAAATAAATAAATAAATAAATAAAT